AAGTGTTTTTTTTTTAGAAAAAAGGGTGCGCGGAAAAAAAGGGGCCAAAAATCAAGGGGCCCCGGAGGGGTCTGCCCCCCGAGTTTTTGGGGGGGGGGTCTTGGGCCATGACCCCCCCCCTACCATTTGGTGAAGGTGCTGGGGGGGGCGGGACCCCCCCCCTAGCATGTGGTGAAGCCTCTGGGGGGGGTCGGACCCCCCCCCTAGCATGTGGTGTGAGCAGAAGTGCGCCCCCCCCCCCCTGGAAGCGATGTGCGCCTGCTCCCTTCTCGTCTGTTCATAACCCACGCTTCGCGTCTTCACACCTCCTCTGCAGGACTCACCCCTCTACGCTCCCTTTTGCAGGATGAGGCGTAGCCACCTTAGTGCATTCGCGCTCCCTTTTGCAGGATCGTGTTAGTCCCTTGAGGTGTTGTCGATATTTCCTTCTTTTCGTGTTACGCTTACAAGCTCTCCTTGAGTCGCTCTCTCTCTCTCTCTCTCTCTCGCTGATGCGGCCCGCTGCGGCGCTCGTCTACCTCGCGAGCGTCGCCCGAGTGGCCGCCATCCAGTAGAGCGTCTCCAGCTGCGCCCTGTGGCAGCTGCGCCCTGTGGCAGCTAGTCGAGGGACTTGGTAGTTGTGACCCCCCTGAGTGAGGACAGGAGAGAGAGAGCGTTTTGTGGTGTTGGTGTACGCAATAACGGGACAGGGTGGTTGTTCTCTCTATCTCCTCTTCTAGCTCTTAGCATGAGCTGCGCCCGGTGTCCGACCCCTTTTGCGCAGCAACACCTTAAACTTTTAGGCCCTCCAAATTCGGGTCGGAGCGTAGCGGAGTGGGCCGCCCCGAGTTTGAAAAGGGCGACGGACGCTTGCGTCCTAGCCTCCAACAACGCCTCCCCGGCGCAGAGGGGCCCCCGGAGGGATGCACAACCGCTCCACGCCACGCCGCTTGCGGCGGTCCTCTTCCCAGCTCCGCTGAGCGCCGGGGCGTTATTTATCCCCGGTAGGCTGGCCTATAATCTCGCGCGATGGCGGCGCTGCCTCTCCTCGCTGCTGGAGCCGCCGGCCTGGTGCTGTCTCCGCCGCTGATGCACCCGTCGCCGCCGCGCGGCGTGATCGCGGCGCGCGGCGGGCCGGCGCTGGCGCTCGCAGAGCCGGCGAGCTCGCAGAACCCGGGTCGGCCGCTCACTGTGGCGATCGCGGGCGGCGGCGTGGGTGGGCTGACGACGGCGCTGGCGATGCTCAAGGCGGGCTTCGATGTGACCGTCTACGAGAAGACGGGCCAGTTCGCCCGCTTCGGCGGCCCCATCCAGTTTGCCTCCAACGCGCTCTCGGCGCTCAAGGCGATTGACGAGCGGCTGTTTGAGCGGGTGATCGCCGACTTCACCTTCACGGGCACGCGGCGGTGTGGCATCAAGGACGGGCTGCGCGCCGATGGCAGCTTCCGGATGACGCCCGTCGCCGACCCGCGCTTCCTCTTCGACCCCTCCACGCCGGCCGACTGGTACCTCGAGTTTCCGCTCAAGGCGTGCGCCGACTTCTTCGACCTGCCGTACACGGGGGTGATCGACCGGCCGGACCTGCAGGACATCCTGCTGGACGAGTGCCGCGCCATCAAGCCGGACTTCATCGTCAACGGGGCCCCCGTCGCCAGCTACACCCAGACGGAGGCCGGAGTGGTGGCGACACTCTCCGACGGAAGGTGCCGCCGCCGCCAGCTC